CGTTACAATCATGAAGAAAGGTGTGCGTACCACTCCAACAGTCCTGGACACGACACTAACCACTGTTGGACATTGAAGAAAAAAATTCAAGACCTGGTCAGCGAAGGGGCGTTGGAACTCACACAAGATGGTCAACTTGAGTTTTTCTGTCATCTTTCAAAGGCACACCATCTGAAGTGACACATTTAGGCGGAGAAATTTTTGTTCATTCGAATTTTCAGTTGTAATTTCTTTGTTTGCTTAAACAATTATCTTTATGTCAGACTTTGGTTACTTTCATTAATGCATTGCATATGCTTGTCTTGAATTAATCCATTCGTTTTCACTATATTTAAACTGTAATTTTTACTCCCTTTATGATATTCAACTCTTGTTAAAAGTTACAAGCCTTTAGAGGGAGGATGACGAAAACAATACCATAATCTCATACAGTATGCTTTTTGATAGACCTCGCTGACGATGTACATGCGTTCTTTCAATCCCTAAACAGTGGAGTTATAAGGAAGACGATCCCTAGTCAACCCCTTTGAGCCAAAGAAATAGGAGTTTTCTTTTTCACATAAATTGGAACCTTTAATCAGAACCTGGGACAAGGTAGTTTCTCAATTAATCCAAATGCGCATTCAGTCGCAAACCTTCACTTCATACACAACGAATGACATCAAAAAATCCTTTTAAATCAAAAGACGGTGATGGTTCCCCATAAAATAGGCAGTCATTATCTCTCAAAAGAAAATCCCACTGAGTCAAAATTTACGAAGGAGACTTAAGAAAAACTGGGGCATCCCGCTGGCTGTAATCTCAAAACAAGAACAGTCGGGCAAAAATTAGGGACAATAAATCAAAAAGAGTGCACTACAAATCCTCGACAAACATGAAAAATGTTGCAAAAATGACTTCCTTCACGAATAAACTTTCAGTATTGGAACCATCACCAAAACGTCATTCCATACTCAATTGGAATTCAAAACGTGCAATTAACTGAGTTTAGAACTGGAGAATATCATGAAGAACGGGTGGGTACAAATAAACTTTGAGCCTTATCCTTTGTTTCTTAAACCGTGAACCAGGCCACGTTACAACCCTTTAAAAGTCCTAATTGAAGCATAGATTAGTTCGAAAGCATACTGTTACAAAAGGTATCCTGACTCCTGTAAGGCTTACTATAAATCCTGAGTTAAATTCATATTCTTACAAAAATCTTTTACTTGTTAGAACTACATTTTCAAAACTTCAAGACAAACATAAACTTTGCATTATTTTGAATACCACTGTTTGCATATAGGTATTTGTTTGACAATGGAGAAATTCACATGATGAATATCCAGTGAACAAGAACTCTCTCAAAAAATAGATTCACTTCAAATGGAAAAACACTTCCAATGACAAACTCTCCATAACCAAGAGGGCATAACATGATTATTGTCCAACCCATCTGGGGCAGTCAAGTCAAGATTCCAAGAAATCTCTCATAGTCTGGGGCAGATCTCCATTTGAATCACTTGGGGCATTGAACATAAATCCCATCAAAGGGGCATGTACAATCAAGCAATTTTTTCTGGAAGTAACTACAACACTTACTGCTGTGGATAATGACAAATCCCCACAAAGTCCCTTTTACAAGGTGATCCCCGTTGAAGTCTCCAGAGTCGCCTCTACAAGGTTATCCCCATAGATTAATCTTCACGGATAAGGGTACAAACCCCACAAGGCCAAATTCATGGATATCCCAAAAGTTGGATCCATGCAATCACCAGTCAGAGTTTCAACCTCTGGAAAACCTCTCCCCGGTTGAATTAGTCTTAAGAGGAAGCCTTAATAAGTTCTTCCAGAAGAAAACACTTCCTTGGTAGATTGTCAAATGGGTTTATTTCTCCAACAAACTATGAATCCTCCATACCAATACAAATCAACAGACAAAAATATTTAATCCCGGTAGAGTCATTGATATCCCCAAAAGTTACTAAAACCTAGACCCAACCAGATATTAGTTTAACTTCTTCAAATCACTAATAAAACTCATATTCCCTAGTAAAGTTTGCCACTATCCCCAGTGAGTTGTTGCAAAGCCTGGAAGCCGGTCAGATAACAGTTAACTTCTTTATCCCCAACAAGTTGTTAACTTCCGTTCTCTCCAATCATGTGAATTGTGTTGGAGTATGTTGAATACATGATTATGTGAAGTGTGATGAACTCAATTGATGTATGCTTGTTATGCATTACTTATTATTATATATTTCCATAATGATATGAATTCTCACCCTTCTGTTGAAATGATATTTTATATGACATCGCTCAGGTGTCAAGGATAGCAATGGTGCCTCTAACAAGGATTAGTCGGAGGAGCTAGTTCTTTGTTTATCCGTTTATTAGATAGTGAGTCCTGCTCTGATCTATGTAACACGGGGAACGTTTGGATTCATGTTATATTCGTTATATTCATGTTATTTGAGAGATATTGTTATACTCTCTGGATATTTATGTTATATTAAGATTATGTGATGAGTGCTCTTTAGTGCCTAACATTTTATGATATGATTGTCAGTATGGAATTTCAATCATTAGTATTATTTTGAAATGAGAATTATTTTGTTGCGAGATGCATAAGTGTTATTGTATGGAACATGATTCTAAATGTGTGTGATGAGCATGATCAACGTATTGTGTTGTTTGTCGTGAAGTAAATGTGACGCACTCTTTTAATATACATGATAATTTATTCTGATTATACCATATATTTGCGCAAGAGTTTATAGAGGGTGTTACATTAGGTTGAGGCACGGCATGCTTGCACAGGATGCTTTTATGCAGAGGGAAAGAAGTAAGGCATCCCAGGCTCTTTCTGTCTCTGGACAGGATGTGCCGGATGCGAGTAATATAACATATGTCTCTGGTGTTTCTCTTTCTACTTCGACTGCATCGTTCTCCCATAGCAGGCGGGATTCTCCAGTTCATCCCCCCCCCCCCCCCCCCCCCCCCGCCGCCTCTGTCCTCTCATAGACATTTTTCCTCATCGATGGTATTTGAGGCGGGAGAGGCACCTGGTTTCCAACCGACACCAGAGGTCACACGGGCATCTCTGGCATCCGGTTCTCATCTGACACCAGAGGTCACACAGGCACCCTAGACATCTCAGGCACCTGAGCTGGCACCTCAGGAGGCACCCCGAACATCTCAGGGCTTGATCCAAACGCACTTCCCCCGCATCTCGGGTTGGTCACTGGCTACTGATTATACTAAAGCTAAGTTGTGTGCCACTGCATACGACCCGCCCCGAGGGAACCAAGCGACAAATTCATTTCGGGTGTATATTGACAGACTGGTGTTTGAGGACATACACTTTCATTCATACCATGACCATCGTGCCACGATACCATTTGATGATGTTACGTTATTTACGGGATGGTTGGATTGTGGGTCACGCAAGACGACTGCTTATATGCCTGAGCGCGTCATGCGTCAGTTTGGGTACATCCAATACATTCCCTGGGATCCTACTGTATGTGCTCCTTCCCTGGTGAAACGCAAGGATATGGATGTCTTGTTTGATGATTATGAGAATCATCTTGTTTCATATGAGACCTAGAATACCATTGCTACAGACGACTAGAGCTACGTGGACGGTTATATCATATGGTTCTTCAGGGTGTCTCATCTATACCTGGTATAGAATGCTCCAGGAAACCCACTGAGGTCAACTCATCGGGAGATTCTAGAGGAGCAGACACGGGCCGACCATGCCACTGATGTGTTTTCTAGGTGTCGTCGTATCATGAACATTGCGTAGGCGGGTATTGATGGTGGTTTTTTCCTGATGACTTTGATGTTAGAGGTGTTCGGGATGCCATCGTGGCGGAGGCTCGAGGGGCTCTGCAGTACAGGAGGCAGCGGAGGAACGCCGAGAGGGTGACAGACCGACTCAGAGTCCGCCATATCCAGTAGTCTTTGATGTTGTATATGTATTTTGATTATCTTTTTTTTGGATTGTATTTGGATAATATTTTGGGTTACTCTCTATATTGACTACGAGCACCTTTTGTACTGTTTACTGATATCTATTTATATATGTCTTTGTTCTACAAACCTTTGTAGTATCTTTTATTAAATACGTCTTTGTATTCGATGTAAAACAACGCACAAAATGATCCACTTGCCAGCATAAGTCTTTCTGGTTACTGTCTGAACAGAAACTAGAAATATATTTATGGTTCGCTTTGCAAATGTATTTCCGATTTCTAGATAAGATTTGCATTTTAAGAAATACTTAGGATTTTTCATTTCAGCATAGAATAGAAAGAGAAATTCTCATAATTTATGGCAATTATGTTGAAAAATGTCTTTGGTTGTCTATTCCATTTTTTATGAAACTGTGAACTGAGAAGTTCATGGTTTTTAATCCTTAAGCAAAATATTGTTGCTGTGTTTAATAAAATTTAGAGTAAGACTTATTTATAAGAAACACCCCTTTAGCAAAAATTTGTTTGACAAAATATAGATTTTGACTATATTTCTTATCATCATTTAGTATAATTTGACAGAAAGAAAGAAAGTGAAAGATGCAATTTTGCCCCAAATACAAGATAGGTTCAGATGACTATCCGCGAAATATGAGTTTTGTTTTCATGCCTAATTCAATCAAAAATACACTGAGAAACATATGCACCAATACTGTAATCCAGCTTGTAGATTAATTATCCTTATAAATAACTCTTGACATAGCATTGACATTTAATTTCTAACTAGATAGTCACAAAACTTGATTCCTCCTCATCCACAAAACTTTGGAATGCCACATGACTATGTCAATCATAAAATTACCAAAAAAACATCTAATTTACAAAGGCAATGTGCCACGCGACTGTAAGGAATGATGTCGATTCAAAATCCAAACAAGCATAGGAAGCACCAGTTGCATTTTAGAGCCACCTTCATTTGAGTGCATTAATTGTAAGTCACACCCTTGGGAGTGTGAAGAAAACTTTAAGGTTTTATGCATAAATTCAAGCTTCTGCCACAACAGTAGCTTCTTCATCAGTAGAATCAGATGATAAAGTTTCTTCCGGGATGTCTCCAACTATCACCTCCGATTCTGAAACTGTTTCCGTCTCGGCATTGAGAAGCTTTTCCCTAAGCTTTGTTGTTAATTCTTGCAGACCGTCGCTGTTGATCAGGTGGTTTTTTAGAGCTTCCTTGCCATGGAAATTCTTGCCATTATATTCGTAAAACGAACCGCTCTTTTTTATGAGTTTGTGTTTTATGCTCAACTCTATGACCTCAGCTTCTTTGCATATCCCCTTGCCAAACTCAAGCTCAAACTGTGCAGTTTTAAACGGAGGGGCGTGTTTGTTCTTCACAACTTTGACAAGAATTTGGCTTCCTAAAGTCTGCAAAATAAAATACCACAAATTAAGTTTTCATACTGTAAATTAGACCTTAATGTGTTCATAGCAATATTAAGATCCGCAGAACACACGTTATACAAATATTAGGGTAATGTGAAAATGAATATGTTGAGCTGATTCATAGTTAGCAAGAAAATACGCCAATAATGATGCAGTGTGTAAGAGTTAAATTGTACTTTGAATTCGATTTCCTGTTTTCTAAAGTTGTGTCAGCTGGCACAGCCGGTTCAATTCCCAAGAAGTTAGTTGCTAAGGGTGTATGATAACTCTTGGTTAGTGTAGGTTAAGCAACCTTATATAAACCCTTGTAACTAACTCTGTGATCATCAATCAAAAACAGAATTTCAAAACTAGTCTATAATGCATTTCAGCATTACTTGTATCTTCTCTAAAATGGTATCATAGAGCCTGGTTCAGATCCTCGATCATGACTGAACCACAATCGTCCCCTCCACCTCCACCTACGCTGCTGCAATCGTCTTTGAAATCCGATCTAGTTACGTTTCAGTTAAAGGCTTCCCGAAAGCTTGATGAGAGGAATTTTCTTGTTTGGCGCCAGCAAATTGAACTGGTTGTGAATGCTCATAACCTTCAAAGTTTTCTTCTCTGCTGTGACATTCCAGATCGGTACATCGCCAATTCAGTCACCGACACTAAAATTGAGAATCCTCTCTTCCGCACATGGACTCAACAAGATCAGCGGCTCCTTTCATGGCTTCAGTCTACCATCTCGAGCTCAATCATGACTCTATCCTAGGTTGCGCTCATGCTTCGCAACTATGGACACGAATTCATGATCATTTCCAAAAACTCACTTGTGCTCGTGCACGCCAACTGCGCGCTGAAATGTGTTCCACTACCTTGTCTGACTGCAGTGTTGAAGCCTATCTTTCACGAATCAAAGTTCTTGTTGATTCTCTTGCTTCTGTTGGTGATCCAATTCCTTCTCAACAGCACATTGATGTGATTCTTGAAGGTCTTCCACAAGATTATGGATCTGTTATTTCAGTCATTGAAAGCAAATTTGAGTTAATAGAGCTTGAAGAAGTTGAAGCCTTACTAATTGCACAAGAGATGCGACTTTCAAAGTTTAAAAAGAAAGTTCAACTTGACGTGGCATCTATAAATATCACAGTCCAAACCAGAGGTTGACACAACTCTTCCTAAAGAATCCTCTTCTTCATCTTTTGCTAATGGAAATGCTGATGGATCAAGCTTTCCCTCTCACTAGTCTTTTGCTGGAAACTCTCGTGGTAGAGGTGCAAGAGGAGGAAGAGGACTTCGTAGAGGCTGATTTGGCAATGTTCAATGTCAGGTTTCCTTTAAACTTGGCCATACTGCCTCAGTCTGTTATCATCGTTTTTATCAAATTTTTCAGGCACCTACACCTACTGAATACCATAGCTATCCTCAAGGTTCCTCACAAGGATATCAAGGTCATTTCTCTCAATCAGGTACTCCGTCTTATGGTTTCCAAGCACCATGGAATCGTCCTCAAACATTACCTTCATTCAGACCCCCTCTCTCTGTGCAATCTAATGCAATGCTAACCAACACCACCAATGCCCTTCCTAATACCAATTCCTCTTGGTTTCCTGAATCTGGCGCCAGTTATCATGTCACAAACAGCTCTCAGAATATCCAACAATGTGTCCCTTATGAAGGTCCTGATCAAATCTTCATAGGAAATCGCCAAGGTCTGCAAATCAGCTCCTCTGGTTCTTCATATTTTGTCTCCATTAGAAGCCAATGACTGTCTTGTTTTACATAATTTGCTGCATGTTCCTTCAATCACAAAGAACCTCATAAGCGTTAGTAAGTGTGCTAGAGATAACTCTATTTTCTTTGAGTTTCACCCTGACTATTGTGTTGTCAAATCTCAGGTTACTAACCAAGAGCTGTTACATGGAAGTCTTGGTAGTGATGAACTCTAAGTTTCCTAGTCTCAAATTCCAGTCACAAGACTCAAGTTCCAAGCATATCTCTCCTGCCTCCTGTCTTGTTAGTCAATCTATAGTTCCTGATTCTAGCCTTAAGTTTCCCAATACTAGTTATCCCAATGTAATAAGTCCTAATCCTAACAATGCTTAGTTTTCCTGGCATCTTAGGCTAGGACATCCTAATCCCCATACTATGCAAATTCTGTCGAAACAATGTAATATACCTTAAATACAACAGCACTGTGGCAATGCTATTATAAGCAATTGACGACTCTGCTTGAAACCATTATATTTGAACAGGCGTGGCAATACCAGAACATGCAATAGAAGAGCAATAATAGATGAACTGTACCTCTTCACCCTTCTTGATAAACCCTATTCTTTTGATATTTAGCCTCACGGAAGCATAGAACTTCAATGCATTACCACCACAAGTAACTTCAGTAGGGCCAGCGAATCCCCCAAACGTAGAAATCTTTGACCTTACCTGGAAACGCATAGATAATAGTTCCCATAATTAGAAGATAAGGTTTTCCCTCAGATAAAGTGAATGCAATTAATTATATCGAAAATCTATTATATATGTATAATCTTACATAATATTCTAAATAAAAGTACTAAAAAATGCAGGTCAAAAACATCCCCAGGATCAAACAGATATCTCTACTAAGCACACTCATGTAGGCCTGGCAATGTAGGCTCAACCTCCACAACAATACAAAAATCATAAAACAGCTAATGAAAACCGCCACACCAAAAAATAAGAACAAAGTAGCATCCCATTAAATCAACTTAGATAATCAAGAGAGCTAAAAGACATCAAAACATTTTATCTTCTTGCTTTTAGGTCACTACCAGCAATGAAATCCATGTTCCTTAATATCCATAAAACATCCTGCTACTAGAAAAAGCACTAAATTATGCTGGTCGAATAGCTTAAGCTTTTGATTCTAGTGTTCAAAATTTATACATTCACTACATTATCTTCAAACAAACAGAACAAGGCTAGAAGGAACTAAAGTTTAACATCTGTGGCAAACAATCTAGTATTATGCTTTGCTATGGATGCTAACTGCTCCGGAAAAAATAAAATTATATGCACAAATTAACCACAGGAGATTTTATTAGAATCAGCAACTGTGGCTGATACCTGGTTTATAAAAATCAATATACACTGTGAAAGTGATAAGGAGTGGCACAGCTTCCGAAGAGCCTGGCTCATCAGCCTAGCTTGCATTGCCATGTGAGCATCACCCATCTCACCATCAAGCTCGCCTTTAGGAACAAGAGCAGCCACCTACGATTGGAAACATGGCAAAAAGTTGAGTGCATTTACTCAACTACAAGAAACAAGATACCCATGACTACAAACTTCAAAATACTAGGTCACTAGATCACCTATTTCAGGATCACGCGAAGGTATCAGAAACATAACTTAAGACACAAAAGTTACAACAAAATTATTTCATCACCCACACACATACACAAAAGGAATTATCAATTAAAAGAATAGAAAGGAGGGTCTCACACTTACGCTATCGACGACAATTACATCAAGCGAACCACTCCGAATTAAGGTATCCACTAGGCTAAGTGCCTGCTCACCACAATCTGGCTGTGAGAGAAGCAAGTTCTCGGTATTTACGCCAATAGATTCGGCAAGTGACTTATCAAGTGCATGCTCAGCATCAATAAAGGCACAATAGCCTGCATATAAAAACTTACTAATTAATGGAGATTCTTATAAAGTTAAATGCAGTACCAAAAATACATAAGCCTGTTAGTCGTCATTATTAAACTCATGGAACACAAATCATTAGCAGAACAAATTTGCATAGCAATGATTACTACAATACTATTATGGTCATATACACCATAGACAAGACAAGTTGAAATGCTAAATCAAATCAAGCCAGAAGTATAAGCATTACAATTATCACTTAAAAAATAGCTTATAAAGAATACCTCCTAGTTTTTGTGCCTCTGCAATCACATGCAAAGCAAGAGTTGTTTTCCCAGAAGCCTCTGGACCGAATATTTCCACAACACGTCCCTACAGATATCAGTTACATATAATAATAAGGGGATAGCATTAACCAAAAACAGCCTTAACCAACTTTTTTAAGGGATTAGATAAACTTCTAAAACTGTAAATAAGCATATACATCTTCAAAGAAAATATACACAAGAAATGTAGGAAGAAACTTTACAAAATGGGCCAAAAATAAAATAAATAAAAAAAAACCTTTATCATCAGATCAACCTATTCACTCTATTTAAAAAACAAAAAGGTCCAATGTTGATTAAGGTGCCACAAAAGGGAGTAATAGATATGAGGATACCTTTGGAAGACCAAAAATTCCTAGCGCTATATCAAGAGCAAAAGAACCCGTTGACACCACAGGTACATTTTTGGGTGAGACAGAACGACCAAGCCACATGATAGATCCCTTTCCAAATGTAGATGTGATCTGATCCATGGCTTGTTGTAATGCCAAATCTTTCTTAGACATGTTCTCGTCATTTGAGTCACTTCCATCTGATTTAGACCGCTTCTTACCTTCACATATATGAAAATAAATAAAAAATGCCATTAATATAAAATGAGCAGACTATAAAAACAACCCAAATGATAAAATCATAAACCTAATTCAATACTTGAGCTCAACATGACTAAAATGCACAAAACGAAACCAGCAAAATCAAAAGGTTCTAAAATTTTTAATTCCAATTTGGTTCACATAATACTAAAACAGCGACAAATACCTAACAAATTCTAGATTAAACATAACAGAATGAATTAGCATCACTAGCTCTGTAGCTCATATCACAATGCTAAATTAGAGTCATTAGACCCTTAAACCTAAACCACAATGAAATTCACTGCACCCACAAAGCAAACCTAAGAGTCACTATCACAGACACGAACACAACACAAACACATAGACACTAGTAATAATTTATGCAAAGGGAAGTGATTGAAGCCAACACTAGACACACTTTCAATCTGAAATTTCGGAGTTATATAGAAGCCAACGCCCTACTCATGATTATTATAATTTCATATTACAAAAACTTCATCAACAAAAGAAACATCTTTTTAATGCAATTATTGAAGCAAAAAACAAAAACAAAAAAACAAAGTGAAATTTCAAAAACCTTTACAAGTTGAAAAGCTCAAATTTTGAGATGAGCCCATTACTCCATGTTTGAAACAAGAGCGCTGCAAGCAAAAGGGTCAATGAATCAGTCACTGTTCATACAAATAAATAACAAAAACAGCGATGTTCAAGGATGCTGTGTGTTACCGTCGGAAGGCCGTGGTTATAGAAAGAGCGGTTGAAGAGAAAAGTGTTAGCGTTTCGAAGTAGCCTCGCCATGGAGTAGAATCACACTCTTCTATTGAAGTGTGGAACGTGAAGAGAAGGGAACTATGTGTGTCGATTTTGACTTGACAGAAGTTGCATGGAGTCGTGGACCACGATTTTGACTTTGCCGGATTGTTAGGGTTTATTTCCCTCCATTTTCAATTTTCATTAGGATTGCAACACATTTTTCTCATTTTGGCATTTGGTTTAATCACTAAATATACATTATAAATAAAATTGCGACTCTTTTTTCTCATTTAAGGTTTATCGTTTAGAATAGTTTGTATCTAAGTCTCATCTTTTCGTTATATTATAAGTTATGGTTTATAGTCTAGATGCTCTAAAACCTTATGTAAGGCAATTGCCTTATAGGGGCCGTAGTCATGAAAGTTTGTGATTTTTTTCTATCAAAGACTTAGATGATGTATAATGGTTTATGGATTATTTTTTTTTATCACAACTAAATCACTTAATTTCATTAAATAAAATATGTTCAATACAAATCGAATTCAATAAATTGCGTCTAGCTTAAGAATTGGCCGCCCTCACAAGAGAGTGAGCAACCACAGTCTCAAAAATAATATAATTTAGGTTCAATGAGATAGCTTCAAGAATAGCCTCTTTAAGGGCTAAGGCCTATGCTTCAATGACGGTGAGGATTTCTGGATCCCAAACAATACTTGCACTAATGAAATTCCCTAAATGATTCTGCATACACCAACCTCTATTAGTAGTGTCATTGATATTATTAAAAGTTGCATCCACATTACATTTTATCTATCCTGTTGGTGGAGGCATGAGCTGGTTGTGTGTTGTTATTGTTAGCACGTTGGGCTTGAAACCAATCATTCCACCTATGAAACGCACGTAAACCCAATTTATTTGCTTCTTCATGTTCATGCTCCCAAATAAAATCATTCTTATTTTTTCATAAAACATCAATCATAACCGCAAGTTTGCCCGCAAGTTTTTTATCCTCCTTCTTACAGATATCAAAGATAAGGGACTTGAGATCATGGGAAAAATGATGACGAGATTCTATAAGATTAGACAAATTTGAAGATCTCCAACAAAAGTTGGTAGCATTACAGCTCAAGAAAATGTGTCATTCGTCCTCAGTGTGATGATCACAAAACTGACAAGTTAACGATAGTGATGTCGGAGACACGCACGAGTAGGAAGGCAACCCTTACAAATCCTCCATAAAAGATGATTAAACTCTTGGCGGAGCAATAATATTCCAAATACTACACCAATCCTCCCCTACATTGTCACTTTCCTACCGCCTAAACTCATCACGCCAGATCATGTATCCTGATCTCACACTATACACAACATCTTGTTCTTCCTTCCAAATCATCGACTTCTTTTACATCCTCTAAGAATGGTACCTGTAAAATTCTTTCAGTATCTACTGCATCAAAGAGATTTCTTACAATATCATAATCTGATTGTTTCTCGTTAAGTGTCATAAGATTATTAACTGTAATAGCATACACACCTTGTTGTTGAGGACCACCAATGCAATCTTCACTACTGCCCCTTAACCAAGGCTCTTGCATAATACCAGTATTTCTACCATCTCCCACACACCTCCTACACCCCAATTTAAGGACCTCTCAAGATTTCTAAATACTCCTCCAAACAAAACTAGGATTGTAATCAGTGGCGGAGCCAGAAAAATTATGAAGCCTGGGCAAGTTTTCATTGGCTTCATAATTTTCTACCAAGACAGTACAATGATAATCCCAAAGGAATTATTTCCTTGAATTGCAATTACCTCTTCAATTTGTAAGATTTCGGATTTTATAATATATACATGTTAAAATTTTGGATTCTATAATATATACATGTTACAGTATTTCAGGTGTGCTCACAAAATGAACAAACCTATAAAAGCCGAGAAAATTAGTTCAACACGCTCATTTGTGTGAAATTAAGTACTGCCTAAAAACACCGCTATCAATTCAAATTTCAAATAATGTTGTCAAATGCAGATCGGCGAAGTGGTGGTTTGTTAAAATTCCGGTATGCTACAATGTTGTAGAGCCACTATTTGAGAACACATTATACTAAGTAGCATAACAAAAAACAATAGGGATGTGATCAAATTCCACTACACTATAGTACAATAGCTATAACTGCTATTTAACAACAATGATTCCAAGATATACCAATCTAAGTTATGAACAAATAAAAAATTATGATAACAAGCCATACCTTTCAATAGTTCCTCTGGAAAACCATGTGGCATCGCTTTCGTGCTCAGGCACAAGAACAATTGAATAACCAACCTTCGCCATTTGATCTTGAGCAACCTTCAAGTGGCAGTGAAAGGGGTTGAACAAATCTGAAGCTATTTTCTCCTTTTTTTCATTCACAGTAATGACCAAATCAAACCTAATTTACACAAGAGCACAAAATCACTTGACCAATTAACTCACAGAGATTAATCAGTGACATAAAAATCATATCATATGTATAAACAAAATATAGTTCCTTCAGTAAGTTTTCTCATTTCTTAAACTCAATTTCTATAACTGCATGTAGCAACTACATACATTCTCCTAATAAAATTGTACTCCTTTTTTTATCAATCTTAAAAAAAAATTCCTCAAATGATATTTTTACAGCTCAGATGAAAATTCTAAAATCACTGAACTAGAACATTTCTTAAACGAAAGTACCGCCTCTTGAGCTTCCTTGGAACATAGGTAAAAATTAATCCTCTCCAATACCTGACCATTTTCTAAAATATATCTGGCAATACTTAATCCACGCACATGACCAACAAATTTTTTAAACTTCAGCACTTTAAGAGTATAAAGCAAACAATGAGGCACAATTAGAGAATTCATCAGCATTCCATCAAAATATATCACCTAGAGATCAGAAAAAGAAAAGTAGATTTTTTGAAACCAATAAAAACATTGAGCTCTGTTTTAAATTTTAGAAATTAAAAATGACAAACCTTTAAAACTAGAGTTTTCAAACAGGGTGTCTTTAGGAATTAGGAGTATGCTTAACAAATATCTCTCTCATTCATACTAGTTATAAATTAAGTAGATCATAATTTATATAAAATCAACAAAAGTAAGTACATTTTCAACAAGTTGAAATCCGTTGATGAATGTTATCTGGTTCTAGTTGGTGTGAGCTGAAACACAATTGAATTCAGCCTTGTAAGTTGTAACTCACTTTGTTGTTTAAAAGAGCTTGCTTCAAAATCTCGATTTTTGACACTATCACATGGCAGATATGACTCGAATAAAAGAGATTGCTTCAATACTTCTTTCTTTCCTTCAAAAGTTCAACAAGTGAAACAATCAATAATAATAATTCAGTACCATAATTCGTAAGAAACAGACGCGAAAAAGAGAAAAAAAACTTAGTTGAGGCAATTTATCGAACAGTTAGTGTGCAAGTTATAAAACGGTGGTAACAACAACAATTTGATACTAATGCCATGGCCAATCTATGGACAAAAATATCCATTTACAAACATAGTATAATCAAGCAATTCATCAAACACTTGGCGGGAAGAATACAATCAACAGAACTAAGCTATATGTAATGCTTACTATGGGTATAACTTTTGAAGAAGAAGATATGAGGCTAATTATAGAGAAACAATGTCTATGATAAAATTAAATCTATCGGATAAGAATGAAACAAACCTCCTTCAAGTTCATTGGAGGTGGTGAAAAGTGAAAGAGTTGTCGTCTTGTTCATCGTATTGAGGGAGAGAAGAGTTCCATGAAAGTGATTCGAGGCGGCCGAGCCTGGGCAGCTGCCCTAGCTGGCCGGACGCTGGCTCCACCAGTGATTGTAATCAAGTTTAGCATCAAGTAAAGAAGTATCAGGAAAATACCTAGCTTTAAGAATCCTAGCCACAAAAGCTTGAGGTTTGGAGAGAATATTCTAACCTTATTTTGCAACCATAGCCATATTAAACGTCTTAAAATTCTGAAAACTCAATCCTCCTTCCTTTTTTGTACAAGTTAATCTCTCCCACGTAATCCATTGAATACCTCCGCTTGAATTCCCGCCTCCCCACCAAAAGGAATTTAACATTCTCTTTATGTCATTGATGAACATGTCCAAAAGAATGAAAATGCTCATCACATAAGATGGAATAGATTGGAGCACCGATTTGATCATAACTTCTTTACCAGCTCTCGAAAGTTATCTCCCTTTCCAAGAATTAATCTTATTCCAAATATGATCTTTAATATAAGAGAAAGTTGCCTGTTTACTCATCCCTATCATGGATGGTAGGCCAAAATAATTTCCAGTACCCAGAATATGACGAACTCCCATAATACCCTCCAAATCCTCCTGGGCTGGTTTAGACAAATTCCAGCTAAAGAAAACTCCTGACTTAGACAAATTAATCTCATGTCCTGATGTCTCTCCATAGGTATTGATCACTTTCATGATCGCTCTGACTTCGGTTAAGTTAGCCCTGCAAAATAAAAAATAGTTGTTAGCGAAAAGTATATGGGACACCTGAGATGCCCCTCTCTCTTCCACCTAATGATTAAACACTCATTCAACTTTTACTCACTATAATGTTTTTGTTTAATAAAGTTCAACACCCTACTTCACCATTTTTATTTCATATTCTTATTTTCTTTTATGTTTTTATTTTTGTGATTATATATTAATAACGATTATTGATTGAAATTAAATTAAAATAATTAAAAGTTAAATAATTTATTTTAATTTTTTTCTAATTTAATAAATTATTTGAATTTTATTTTTTAATTTTATATTTTAGTAGAATTTTGGGTGTTAAAAAGATTATTGTTGGGATCTATTTCATTAAAAAGATGGTTAGAGCTACAGACAAGAGTTTATTGGAGACTAAATAGAAAAATTAGAGAGAAAAATCTTGATTTTTTTCTGTGTCCAAATCTAATGAACCAAGTCTCTATTTATAGAGGAAAAAATGATGAATTTTGGTGAAAATAAAAATAAATAAATAATTAATTTATTATAAAATAATTGAT